CCCAATGATACCTGTGAAGGTCCGGGGTAGAATATTGGTCTTCAGTAACCCATGCTTGTCGTAAGAGGCGACTAACGGGATCGGGTGGTCAGGCTCGCTGACTTGGTTGATACATGTCCTCGGTTCCCAATTGCGCAGATCGATGCTCATGCTGTTGATCACTGGATTGTCTGGTCCAGACTCGATTATTTACAATCCGCCGCCATATAGCTGGAATATTGTTGAGTGCGGCGTAAAACTAAACTCACTCACTCACTCCACTCACTCTAACCCAGTGAGATACAATGCCGGAGTTGAACACGATTTTTCAACTCAGACAGTCGACCAGTCCTTGTTTCATCCTGTTAATGGCGAGGTTCAGCCAGGATAAAAACAAGTAACAACTTTTGACGTATTTTGGTCTTACGCGGCCCGTGGAGTTATAAAACCCCTTATAATTGTTAGCGACGCTTTCTTCAGACGCAATAGGTATCAGCCCCGAAGGAATTCACGGTACGGATATATCCCCAGTGTTGTAAGAGACTGATCGGATTGGATGTTCGACAGGGGCGGTGCTTACGTTATCAATCCCTGGTTTGCCCGATCAACCGTGACACATCGTTATATTCAGCTGTGTTGAAGACATCGCCCATGAACATATAGTCCAAGGTATTTGTTGCGGTGTAGTAGTTGTTGTTGTTGTTGTTGTTGTTTTGTTGTTATCAACCAATCATTTCACGACCTTGTCCCAGTGAGAGGGAAAATGGCAACATGTCTGACCAATGGGCGTTCACTTCATTCTTACGCTGCACAGCAGATGATTGTATTAACCGATGCTCGAGAAACATTGTGTCAAAATTATGATGAACAAACAATGGGTGTCGATCCAAAATACATTTCACTCTGTGTTTGTTTGTTTATTGGTTTGTTTGTAATGAACTATGTTGTAGCCTAACAGACAGGGCAGCCATATTGGAAATCTGGATTTTTTTAGCTATTATTTCAATTATTATTGTAACATTTAATATGATTATTTATTTCCTCGTATAATTCTTAAAAGTTATATGTTGTTTGTTTGTTGTTCCACGCCAATCTCTGTTTAACGCAGTATGCAAATAACCGAGTGTGGAACGGAATCGGATGATTAACACGAAATTACGTATTAGAAAGTGAAAATGTAAGGGTAGAACTGATGTAGTTTAGGGGTTTAAACGGTTCAATTTAATCTAAGACAACCAGACCACTGATTGCACCCTCAGCATCGATCAACACAACGTGGCTACGACCACACGCATAAAAAAGGCAACGAACGTGATCACCCGATCCCGTCAGTTTCTTTTTACGAAAAGCATGGAAGGCTGAAGATCTGTTTTAACCTGGATGCTGATGGGGTTACAAACATGGTTGATGAAGACCAATTCTAACCCAGCGTTCACGTGATTATTAGTACAGCTTGCAGAAGACACAGTCTAACTCGTAACTTCGCGTGGTTCAAAGTATGGGCTGCTGAAGAATAATTCTACCCCGTATCATCGTGGGGTTAAAAGTATGGAATGCGGAAGACCAATTCTAAACCGTATCTTCATGGGGTTAAAAGAATGGAATGCGGAAGACCAATTCTACCCCGTATCATCGTGGGGGTTAAAAGTATGGAATGCCAAAGACCAATTCTAAACCGTATCTTCATGGGGTTAAAAGAACGGGTTGCAGAAGACCAATTCTAACCCGTATCTTTGCGTGGATAAAAGCATTGAATGCTGAAGAATAATTCTACCCCGTATCTTCATCATTATGGGGTTAAAAGTATGAAATGCTGAAGATTAATTCTAACCAGTATCTTCATTGGGGTTAAAAATATGGAATGCTGAAGATCAATTCTAAACAGTATCTTCATTGGGGTTAAAAGTATGGAATGATGAAGATCAATTCTAAACAGTATCTTCATGGGGTTAAAAGTATGGAATGCTGAAGATCAATTCTAACCTGTATCTTCATGGGGTTAAAAGTATGGAATGATGAAGATCAATTCTAACCAGTATCTTCATTGGGGTTAAAAGTATGGAATGCTGAAGATCAATTCAACCTGTATCTTCATGGGGTTAAAAGTATGGACTGAAGATCAATGCAACCCGTATGTTCATGGGGTTAAAAGTACGGGTTGATGAACACCGATTCTAACCCCAACATTCATGAGGTTAAGAGTACCTACGGGTTGAAGAAGGCATTCTAACCGGCATCTTCGCATGGTTAAACGTATGAGTGGCAGAAGACCAATTCTCACCTCAGTGTTCGCGGGGTTAAAAGCGTGGGTTTGCAGAAGACCAATGGTTCCAACAATACCGTGGGATAATTCAGGACAATCTTCCCCGAATATTCACAGGGAGGTCTACGTCTGGCACTACCAGGAATACCATTGACACTTCAAACATTAGAAGCATACATTACTGTAAGAGCGTATATACAAGAACATTTGTTTTCCTGTCTGTCAAATAAGGATAACACGCAAAGCCATGATTGAGCTGTCGGTATTAATCACTTGAGCGACAAATACTTAAATCAATATTGTAAACCAAAACTCACTGTGTTCTTTAATCTGATTGGTTGAAAAACGTGATCAAATGGTATTCGATTCCCGGAAATTCGCTGCGTATTAATACATACAAACATCGCTCACACCATTGTATTGATACGTCGTCAGCTGTGATGACGTCATTCAAATCATATTATGACGTAAAGTCCGAATGACGTCACAAATGAGCAGTTCCAGATGCTACCATGAGAGACAGCCGAAACGGCCGGTTGATAACATTTCACTGCTGTGCCCGTACACGATGTCAATGAGTGCAGACACAAAAACGTGTGTGGACCTTTTGGTTTACTTTTGTGTTTACAATGTCGAAAAACATCATGTGTTGGCCAATTTCCGGGTGTTATTGAGTATTTGACGCCGTCGGTTCCAAATGAATTCCCGTGCTTCAAATTGGCCAACACATGATGTTTATCTCCTAAATATATAGCTCAGAAAAGACGACCATGGAAGAATATATTATTCATTAATGTCGCCTTGAGTATCTCTGTACGAAAGCATCTCTTAAACAAGAAACAAAGGAGCGCGTCGTGCAAAGTCAAGTTAAATTTTATGACGTTAACTAATAAGTTACTAATATACACTTATAGATGTATACACCTATACTCAGTCCGTTATGCAGGGTTTGAAACACCCAACATACCAACAAGCGTCAAAAGATCTGGACATGTTGACAATATGATTAACCGTTGATGAATACGTGCCTATGACACACTGACTGGATGTTTTATACATCAAAGTCCGTATAGATGTATATTGGTTGTTGGTTGCTTTTGGGGCGGTGGGGTAGCCTAGTGGTTAAAGCGTTGTCTCGTCACGCCGAAGACCCGGGTTCGAATCCCCACATGGGTACAATGTGTGAAGCCCATTTCTGGTGTCCCCCGCCGTGATGTTGCTGGAATATTGCTAAAAGCGGCGTAAAACCAAACTGAGTCAGTCAGTCAGTTGGTTGCTTTTAGCCGCAATAACTTAGTATGTATGTAGTGTTCCGTTTGTTTGTTCTTTAACGCCGTACTCAGCAACATTCTAGCTACATATCGGCGGTAAATAATCGAGTCTGAACCAGGCAGTCCTGTGATCAACATCATGAGCATCGATCTACTCAGTTGAGATAAGATGACATGTGTTAACCAAGTCAGCGAGCCTGACCACCCGATCAGGTTTTGCCACCTCTTAGGAAAAGCATGGGTACCTGAAGAAGACCAATTCTAACCCGGATCTTCACAGCCCATAAAGTGTTCAGACAGACAGACAAGCGTGAGGTTTCAAATTTTAAATTTTGCACAGTTTTATTTTCAGATAGAGCCCTTGATCGCGTACTTTTAATTAACGTGCGCGCGGTTGCCCTTGATACTGCCATCATCCGCCTGAGGACATACCCCAGGTTCCGGGTTCGGCATTCACTCCACACCCGTGACGAACCTACAAACAGCTTCCTTGGGATTTGTCAGGGGACTTTGTTGGCCAGCCATATGCCTGTATGCTCTATGATAATATGAGATAATCGGCGGTGACCTTGTATGTGGTTTGCCATTTTCATCTCACAGTTAAAAATACCTGCCTATAATACTAGCGAATGGAACAACGACGGGATGCAAAATTGCGTCAACATGTAGCTGCTCAGTCAGATGTCCATTTACAAACACTGTATCTGTTCAGGAATGTGTAATACCGCCGGATACTGTGCCATCCGCTCCCTCATCCCCAATAATGGTCATTTCTTTGTTCATTGAAATACTGTCGCCTCGGACGCAACTTCGAGCGTGCGCTTAGCTCACTTGTATCAGTGATCACCGCCTCCTTTGATGCACGTGCATCGCCTGTTGTTCATGTATGATGTGAAATTTTAATGAGACTAGACGTTGCTTTCAGACGTATGTTGTAAAAGTGCACCTCAGTGATAACTGAATCTATATATCTAGTTCCCTCGTTTTGTTTCAATAGTGATCTTCATATCACAAGGACGTGTACCGTCGCTATCAGTATACATTGTAGAAAGTGTTTCCAAACTGTCTGACCAATGTGACAGAGAAGACGTAGATCAGCATCACACAAGAAGAAACTTGTGTGGAACTGGCACATGTACTTAAACGAAAACTTCTACTCTGATTCTGACATTATGCAAATGTGTTCACTTTCCTGCTATTACAATCATACAGAAACACGCATAATGTCATGCAATTATAAGCAAAGCTTCATAAACCTTATTAGCAGATTATGAACCCAGTTTAAATGTGCAAGATTGGTTTTGACTAGTAAGCAATATCCGCTGTATGTATATAAAACAATTTTGCGAACACCTCTTGGAGATTTACCTAGTGTCAAACAAGCAAAAATAATATTAATATCCAGTATAGTTCCATTACCATTGCATATATACAACTGTGAAAAGTCCATCTCTTGGCATTGAAATGAGGAAGTAAAGTTTACTTACGCGACTTGAGTAAATGGACAGAATAGCGTCCCCAGAATGTTCCCGCCAGAATTACTCCAAGGCTTCCGCACCAAAGGAATGTTTAGCTAAACTTCACGGAACCTGAAAGCTTGGCGTAGTAATACAATGTGACACTGCAATTAAACTGGCCAATAGCGAGCCATCGGCGCCTACGCCTTGTAGCAGTAGTCGTCGCACTATTTCTTCCTGTTCAGAGCTATTTTATTCCGTCAGCGTAACAAAGGTGTGAAAAGGCTTACGCGCAAGCAGATCGGTCCACACAGGCATACAAGCGTGAGGAGCTGTCGACGAGTGTGTTGCCACAGCCATGCAGTTGTCAGTCGCACCGAAACAATTTACATCCAAGGGATGATTTAGATCAGTGTCGGTCGGGCAAACAACCGGATGTTTCTTCTGCCAAATGCAATACAGCGTGTCGATTTAATTAAGAGAACAGCGACACTGGTCAGAATACAGGAATAGGCTTTGGAAATATATTTAGAAGCCCGTTGTAGATATTCTTCTCAGTTTGGTTTTATCGAGTAGTCTTGTCTGGAAATAGCGGCTCCGAAATGAGTTGCTTACACACGATCGACCGTGCATATTGGCACGAGACGGCTTCTGGCGTTGAGCAGAGAGGTAGAACCGACGGGACAATACATTGCTGGATGGTGGGATGGTTGGTTAAACAGGAAAACAAAGCTTTAATTATGATTCCGTTAATCTTAGAACAGAAATCATCGTTGTAGTTTCAAAGTGGTATTTATTTGTTTATTTTACTTTGATCAGACTATATTTTCGTTTTATGAAGGATTTTGCGAAAGTGGTAAATTTGGAAAAAAAATAGTTTCTTTTGGATTTTTATGCACATTATTTTCGAGGAACCAAACACTGACAACAAATTGTACTTTTCATTAGCTTACATGCAGGGTGTGAAGCCCATTTCTGATGTCCCCTGCCTTGATATTGCTGGAAAATTGCTAAAAGAGGCGTAAAACCATACTTACTCACTCACATGCAGGGTTGGGATGTGAATGTGAGGGGTCTGCTATAACCCCGATTCACTTACTCACTCACTCACTATTTTGAAGCATTTTAACTTTTAGATTCGTGCATATATAAATAATCGGACAAACCAAGCTCAAACGTATTATAATAATAATAATAATAATAATAGTAATACTGTAACCTGGAGGCACCATGGGTCCTTGATTATGACGGTGCAGTGCATGAGAAAGTAACTAGGTCGTTTGTCTGCTACATCTCACCAGATTGTTATCAAAAGGTCCAAATCTAATACAGCTCCAGGGCCTGATGGCATTCGAAACCGGTGCTGGAAACTGTTCCCCTGTGTCCAAACACCATTACTTCACTGTTTCAATACTCTCGTGGACACAGGTGATGTTCCTCCATGGTTCTGCAAAGGTCGCACAATACTCCTCCCCAAGAAAGGAGACGTGACTGATCCCAAAAACTTCCCCCCTATCACATGTTTAAATACACAATACAAATTATTCACAGGGTGTTTGACAAACCTCGTGTCATCATACTGCTCTGCAAATGATATACTTTATACAGAGCAGAAGGGGGCGAGAAAGGGAATGTTGGGGGTGCAAGGATCAACCTCTTGTACAGAAAATGATTTTGGAAGAGGCTAAAACATACCACCGCAACCTCTCCATGTGCTCGATTGACTACAAAAAAGCACACGACTCTGTCCCTCATGAATGGATTCTGAAGTCTCTTCGTTGTATTGACCTACCGGAGCGACTACTTGATTTACTCAAGTCTTTAATGAGTTGCTGGTCGACTCAACTTGAGATGTACTCGCAGGTGCAGACTTTGGAATCTATTCCAATCAGAATGGGAATTTTCCAGGGTGACTCCTTCAGTCCTTTGCTCTTTTGTTTGTCTCCAAATCCTTTGAGCTTTCTGGTCAACAGAGAGGAGGGTTAGCATCCTGGACCTCCTCAGCACAGATCCCCAACACCGCTTACTCATCTTCTTTACATGGATGACATCGAGCTCCTTGCCAAAGGAGATACCAATTTGAAAGAACAGGTTCTCCTTGTCGAGTCCTTTTCTAATGATACTGGCATGACACAATTGGACTCGACAAATGTAATACTCTTCATTTGAAACGTGGCAAGGTAGTTAATGGTGGATCGGTCAAGTTACAGAAGGGGGAGGGGGGGGGGGGGGAGTTATTGAGCATCTTGTGGAAGGTCAGGCCTACACCTATCTTGTGCAAGTGCAAGTTCGAGACAAGCTCCAGAATGCCCAAATTCAAGACAAACTTCGGGCCGAGTACAAATCTCGCTTAAATAAAATCTGGAGCTCAGAGCTAAATGCTCGAAACAAGGTCAAGGCCACCAATACTTTTGCTGTGCCAGTCCTCTCCGATTCCTTTGGAGCAGTTGATTGGACAAAAGACAACAAGACATTCTGAGTGTTGACCGCCTGACCAGAAGGATCATGTCTGATAACAGAGCCCACCACCCTCGTTCCTCTCTCAACCGTTTATACATGCCAATCAATTCTGGAGGTCGGGGTTTGATTAATGTGGAGGCTCTTCATGATAGAATTCTTTTGTGTACTTTTGCACATATTTATTTGTCGGATGATCCTCTGGTGATGCATGTCAAGATTCATGATGAAAGCAAGCAATTCCACAGCTATTTTAAGCGTGCCAAGGTTGTTGGACAGAATCTGAAATTTGAGGTTGATTTTGCTGACGGCGATGTACTGCTGGACGGTACAGCGATGGGAGTAAACCAGGTGAAGTCCTTCACCAAGTCTGCCCAGAGTCGGTCTTTTGTGGAGAGGCTTTCTGAGAAGCCATTGCATCGAGTGTACATGCAGTGTGGGAACAGAATAGCAATCCCTCCGACTCCTTCGCCTGGATGAAGTCAGCTGGTCTCAAATGTGAAACTGAGGGCTTCCTTTTTGCTGCTCAGGACCAGTCACTTCCCACTCGTAATCGCCAAAATGTGATTCTTAAGGAAAATGTTAACATGAAATGCCGACTGTGTAATGAATTTATAGAGACTGCCCAACACCTTGTCAGTGGATGCCCTTCCTTGGCACAAACAGCATATCTTAAACGACATGATAGCATGGCTCGTTGTTTCTACTATCGTCTTCGTCATGCCTGTGGCTTTGACTCCGAGGTCCATCCATGGTACGACCCTGAACATGTCCAGGGCTTCATGGAAAATAATGCTTTCAAACTTCTGTGGAATAGGCCCATATACAGCCTCAGAAGAATTCCTGCCAACAAACCTGATCTTGTGCCTTTGATAAAGCCAGCCAATGAATATATTTATGTCATTGAATTTTCTGTCCCTTTTGACAGCAATGTGATTAACAAGATTCAGGAAAAGCATGATAAATATGCGGACCTCGCCTTTGAATGTCTCGCTTGCATCCCAAGTCGTCAGGCTCCCCATTGTTCTCGGTGCCCTTGGTTTGGTACCTCCTGATCTCTTGGCGCAGATCATACTGTTTATTTCAAAAGGTACCCAGCACAACATGTCTGTCGTGAAAACTATGTACCTACGACAGCTGTTCAGTATGGTGGTGTCATCGCATTCCGATGACGTCTTTATGCGATCAACCACCTGATTGGCCTGGACCAACCAGGCTATGTACAAGCCATTATACCACAGTTGGAACATTGAGGATATAATGCGATACCATTCATAAAGGTAACACTTGAAGGCTGTATTGGATAATGTTTCCGTTATATCACTGTTTGTCAGCTTGGTGTGGGTGCCCGAACTGTTACAACGTCAATCATAGACGTTTGATTGATTGACTCACTCACTCACTCACTCACTCACTCACTCACTCACTCACTCACTCACTCACTCACTCACTCACTCACTCACTCCACCACTCACCCACCCGCCCACCACCCACCCACTCACTCACTCCACTCACCCACCCACCCACTCCCCACTCACTCACTCACTCACATGTACACTGATTCACCCAGCCACCCACGTAATCACTCGTAATTTTATTGAAACATCGGTCGATAATATTAGCCGCAAATTCTGCATTTATATTTTAAGTTTTTCTGTATACTGTATCACAGTTTTCCAAAGGCAAGGCTGTAAAACTGTATTTTGTCAAATGGACAAACTCTTCTGTCTTCCTTCTATCCGGGTCAAGAGTAACAACTAAGGACAACGTTTGTTTACAATTTAATATCGATCCTGCATGAACTTCATCTCTGCTGAGCAGTGGATCGAACTTTCATAACGCCTTGTCCAGAGCACTTCTCACCCCTCAACGATAATTGACATTTCCCAAGTATTCTGTAAACCCGCACTGCCAACTCACAACCTTCCCACGGCATGTGATGCGACCACGAGAGCATGTGGTATTTAGAAGGTGTTAGACTGGCATGATCACAAACACGAGCGTCAAGTCGTCAAGGCATCTTTACCTTGTTTCGATCTCAGTCTCCATGATTCACACATGTTCCCTGAAGTCACAACTTTCAGCTCAAGCATGTCTCATGATTAGATTAAGAATGTTGTCCCGCACAAGCTTTCATCTCTGGACTTTTTATCGACAACACTCTTGTTTTTTGCAATTTACACCTCTTCTAAGTCGAGTGCCTATCTTTCCCATTGTTGAAATCTCATTCTCCCTGATTCACATATGACAGTAGCATCAAATCTTCAGGCACAAACATATCTTATTTTGGTTAAGACATATTAACTCGCTCAAGCTTCTATTTGCAAACACTGATGATAAATTTATCGACTGCACTCTTGTCGTATGACTTCCCCACCTTCCCGTGTTTGTGGGAAGCCACTTATCAGCAGGAGCAGACGCTGCACTCGTCAGTTGCATATTCTTGTTTCATGATCTGCACCACCTGCCCGTGTTTATGGGAAGGTGGTGCATCCGGGTCAGTGCTGCAGTCTTCAAAGTGATTTGGCGCGTGGGGCTGGATACCTCTTTGGCTGTGTGGTGTCAGTCACATATTCCTGAATATGAAAATATTTTCTAAATGTGTAGCTATTGTCTCTTGATTTGGCATTGTGTTTCTTCTGAACTCCGAAAATAAAATTATTTGTGCAGTAAT